AGCTGACCAAGTGGAGTGCTCAAGGTGCAAAACCTGGTACTCCACACAAACCCTTGGAATTGACCACTGGTCAAACTCAAAAATAAAGCAATCATACATTGCCTGTAGAAAGTGCATACTGGCTCTTAGAGATGAAAACAGTATGCTCAAGAAAAGAGTCTCAGAGCTGGAAGAGATCATTAATAAAGCTAATCAGGCTGAGACAGCAAACCTTCCTGGCCCTTCCACTGCCAATAAGGCTGAACTAAAAGCTGGAATAGAGGAGGGCACTATCAATAAAGTTGGCACTACAGAGTATGCTAATAAAATTAAGACTAGTCAAAAGCCAAAACAGTCCAGCGTCCCTAATGTCTGTGGCACTGACATAGATGGAATGGCTGCCTATAAACGAGAATCTCAGAATAGAATAGCTAAGCCTCCCATTGTCATGGTGGGGGACAGTATAATTGGATCCCTTAGGGGAAAAGTAAGTGTAAATGAGGCTGGGAGTGAGATTGTATGCTTGAGTGGAGGAGATATTGTCAAAATAAGGAGGGAAGCGGAAAAAAAATCTGAAAGCACAAATGGTGGGCTTCTTGTTTTGCAGGGTGGTGGCAATGGCCTAAGAAAAATTGGAGTGGATAAAACGGTTGAAGAGATCATAAGCACAACCAGGGAGGCACATAATAAAAACCTGGCAGTGGCTGTGGACCCTGTGGTGGGCATTTTGAGGCGGCCAAGGGAAGATGAAAGGTATGAGCGAATGCGAAAAGAGGTAAATGAGAAGGTGTTCCAGAGGCTGGTGAAAATGAAAGTTGAATACATGAGAAAACGTGAGAAAAGAGTGAGCTATATTGACCCCGACTGCATGAAGGAACTGGAGATGCAGCACTGGTTGCCCTGTACGGTGATCACGCTCGCGCTCTCCAGCTCCCGCTCTGCGGCACCCAACACGCATATGTCATTGGCAGTCATTATATATCACTTAAACTAATAACATTTACAACTAATAAAACGCATAACAGATCGAATATTTGTTGTGCATTTAGGGACATCGAGGAAAACTTCAATAAACATGAATAGAGTAAAGCGGTCGGAGTTAATTAACCTTTATAGTTATGATTCTGCCTTGCTAGGGATAAAACAGGACTAGAATTTCAGTTTTTGCTGCAATACTAAATTAAAAAGATCGATTTTACGATAACTTATGGAGGTCGTAATGTGGAAAATGAACATCAATAAATAATCGCAAGACATAACGTACGTTCAGCCTCCCCCCTACAATAAAAAATGCACGGCAGATCCAGCAAGAGAATGTCCATGAACTTCCCTGCTCATCTTAACTCGCTGCTTAAGACAATGGAGGCACTCTGAGATCATCACTATATGCTAGCATCTGTTTGTGAACGTTAACAACTATCAACAACGCTTTCTTCGTCCGGCTTGTAATCATTAACCACATCTGCGTCAAGTTCGCGATTTCTACAACGCGAACGTCAAGTTCCTGACATCAACATTATTTGAATAATGTTAACAACGTTGATGTCAACAATGTTGAACAATGTCAACAAGCATAGATAAGAAGACGTGAAGTGTCTGACATCGTCTGCACCACGTGTCTGATGACATCGTCTGCACCACGTGCCTGATGACATCGTCTGCACCTGTCTCTTATACACATCTAGATGTGTATAAGAGACAGCGTCTGCACCACGTGCCTGATGACATCGTCTGCACCACGTGCCTGATGACATCGTCTACGCCCTGTCTCTTATACACATCTAGATGTGTATAAGAGACAGGCCTAAGAGGCCCCATAGCTAATATAATTATCAAATACACAGTGCAATAATTGACAAATAGCAATAATAAACCAATGAATTTCCCCTTGAACTTCTCTTCCCCTTGATTACTTCTCACCCTTAACACAAACTTTCACACCTCTTCTAAACCTCTTCTCTTTAATGTTGCTTCCACCTGGCTTGGTCTCCCTTCTCTTCTTCTTACTAACAAATGAAAATGTGATGCGTGGCTGATGGCCGTTGCAAAGGCCTGACCCTGAAATTCTTTTTCTCAGAGTCACCACGCCCCAAATCCAAATCCAAATCCGTACACACAGTCACACCTGAAGCTGGAATTTTCACTGTTCCCTTTACCACGTTTTACTGATTTTCAGATTGGTAACTGTTAGGCACCAACTAAACCCAGTTTAAGCAAAGGGCTGCATGGACTAATTTCCAATGCTCCTATAATAATAAATAAGAAGAAAGATACCTGGAGGCCCGAGGCTCAAGCTCTCCTCTCCTGATAGGCCCTAGAACCTCTAAGTCTAAGGATCATTGACAGTTGTACCTACTACCTAGTTTTCAAACAAGATAAAAATATGCTTGATGGCTTGCCTCTGCATTACCTCATTCAGTGTTTCAGACTTTCAGTCATTGTTGGCAACTTGGCAATGTGCCAATATGTTTCCATGCTCCCTCCCGGTCCGGCAGTGTCAGCCTCTCAGCCCTCTCTGACCTTGTGTTAAAATCATATCACACCACCTGGACCTGGAGTCTCATTTTCTTCATGTACCTATTCATTCATGTTCTAGTGTAACAAGGTTGGTGAGGTGATGAGATCATAATTTTTATTATAATATTGTGCCATGTGGGATATGGCTCTACCTCTAGCTCTAAGTTTGCATATTTTTTATAAATTTTAATTAGGTAAACGTCCCCCACTTTAAGGACGTAGGGTAAACGCGGTATATTCCAACATCGTAGGTAATTCCGTCACTTCTCTAGTTTTTTCACTTTTTCCTTTATATTAAGCTTTGTTTTAGTTCCATGCGTTCATTGATGGTTGAAATGGTGATGTCATACATTTGCGTGTCGAAATACTGCAAAAACACTAGGTCTTGGCCATCTAGTGGGAAAATATTGAGATCCAAAGAGAGACAATGCATGCCACCTGGTGAGATCATCAAAAAATGTGTCAAATTTGACAGTTGACCTTGCTCTACCAAATAGTGAATAACTGTTTTTATAGGAAGAATATTATGGTTTGAGACTTCTAAATACGTCTGTGAATATATTAGGAATCCTTTAAGTAAACTTGTATTCGCTGATTTCCAAGTCGTAAATAAATTAATAGATGATTAACCCTTTAGCGGGCAAGCATTGAAATATCCAGAAATTAAAATTTCAGAAACCATTTCAAGATAGTAAGAAGTATTATACAATATATTCATTTCTATGAATTTTTGCAAATTTTGCCTATTGAAGGTTTAAATCGCACTTGAAGAATTCAATAAATGCGATCAGTACACAAAATTTTTCTTTATTATTAAAATTCAGTTTATGCAAATGAAAAATTAGAAACGTAAAAATTTAATTTAATTAAATTTAATCAAGTTGCCAAAATAAATAAATATATATATTTATACTTCCACCTTTTGAAGTAAATGCGGAAAGAGCAGAAGTTCCATTGTCCGAGTCAAAACCTTCATTTAAATGCTCATATTTCAATTTGTGGACTTTGCAGCTGGTGATGCTATAGATAGAACGATGGTCAGATAATTAGTGATTGACTGAGGCATTATAAGGATGCCTCAAAAACAAACAGGAAGCTGTGGTGAGGCTTTTTGTGACGCAATTTCAAGTGATCATATATGGTAATCTACCCGTGAAAGGGTTAAGTTGAGTGATGGATTTAGACCCATCAAAACTAATTCCGACACAACTTGAATTGGACACACACAGATCGTTCCAAGCTTTGTACAAAAATTGAAATTTGCTTAATTAAAAGCCCAATAGCTGTTAATTAAAACGTAATTAAGTAGTGTTCAGTATTCGTTAGTGTTCTAATTCAAAGCCGTGTTGTATCCCAATACAGCTCACACAGCGAACGGAATTCGAATACGTTGATGTCGGCATTACGTATCAGTTAAATTTGAAGCACTGACGCAATACGACTCACCACGTGTCGAATATTGCCACACACAGTGACAGAATATAGGGATTTGGTAGGTTTCCATTCTAAAGGCTTTTTAATAAATATGGCAACATTTTGTGACGTTTCATTGTTGCTGACGCGTAGTGAAGTGTTTTGAGAGTCACATGAAGGCAACAAAACTTACGTAACGCATACAGTTTTTTTTATAGTTTTTCATTTCTCGATGCGTCCTTAATGTGTCGGAATATAGCGCGTTTACCCCTAGCAAAAAATGACTGGCTATAAAAAACTCCGTATGCGCAACTCAAGTACTGTTTGCTTTACGTCACTCAGAACACCTCACTACGTGCCAGCAACAATGAAACGTCACAAAATGTTGCCATATTTATTTAAAAGCCTTTAGAATGCAAACCTACCAAATCCATATATTCCGACACTGTGTGTGACTAAATTGGGCATTTTGTAAGACTAATTCCGGCCGCGCTTGAAACTCTACTAATTCGTAATTCCGACACTCCATGGTATTGGTGGCATTTTAAATGCCTTCTAAGAGATCATATACCAATGTAATTAAGGGGTTTGCTGGCCAAAAATAGGAGCACTCCAATAAGAGTGGGACAGTGTGCGCTCTAATACGAGCAGGCCGGCGGCAGGGGCAGTGCACTCATCCCGCTACAATAAGAGAAATTCCTGCTAGTACCATCCATGAGACTCCTGCTAGTTAAATTACCTCCTATCTAATTATTAAAAAGGTACATGATTGGGCCACAAGATTCTAAATGTATAGAAAATTCCAATCCTGTTTCAGAACAAAGCTGCTGAGCATTAAGTGCCCTTTATAAAATGATGATTTCATTGTATGCCTGTCATCAAATTTATTTTCAGATTTACTCTGTTGCTTTCAACTAGCCTCTAGTTTGTTAATTTTTACTTGCTAAAATTTATCCTTGAGTATTTACAATTTCTGCCACTTATTGCAGTTTAGCTTCAGAATGGTCACATTCAGAACCTGTCGAATCTTAATCCAATTTTATTTCACTTGCCTGAGAATTAGTTCAGCAATGCAAAACATTGAAATCATTCATAACTTTGCCCAAAAATTGAAAAAGTTATTATTTACTTTTTAAAATAGTAACATTGCATAAACGAGTCTATAAACGTGGGACACTTTTCAAATTATGACAAAATTGAATTGCTTCTTAGTCTTAATCAATTTGCTACAGCTCATAAGCTTTAATATTTTTTTACAGAATTTTCATATAAAATTAATAGTTATGTCTGCCAACGCATCTCCTCCCATTCCCTCGTCAAACAAAAACATTTGTGTTCCTGGTGACCGCCTATGCCTTGCTGGGAATCAGTGTCATGCAGCTGAGGGCACATATATTTTTAATGGGTATATATATGCTTCAAGAGTTGGAAGAGTCTCTACCTTTCAGAAAAATGAACAGACTTTTGTGAAGGTAAGGAGAATGCAATGAACATCCTTAACAAAGTGAAATAACTGTCTTTAATGTCTTTACTGTTTTAGTCTTATGTTTAATGTAGATTTCATTTTAGAATTGTTTCATTTTCCTGTGAATTATATTATCTAACACCTGGATACACAAATTTAAGTTAATATATTTGGATATATTACTACATGCATGTTGATATATTTCCTGAAAAAAGTACTTTTTGTATAGAAAATTTATTTTTAATCCTGGTTTCTTGTTTGTCTATGTTTGTTTTCAGCCAACAAATGAATTAAAAAAATCGTAGTTCTTTAATTAAAAGACTTATGATAATTTCCAGGTAACAGGCTTAAGTGGGCATTCAGTTATTCCTGAAGTTGGCTCTCTGGTGACAGCTCGTGTACTCACCATCCACAGTCAGATGATTAAGGTAGCCATCCTGGCGGTGGACGACGTGACGCTACACACAGCCTTCAGAGGCATGGTTCGCAAAGTCAATGTGCGGGAACACCTTGTTGACAAGGTAAGCAAGTACTAGGTTTTTTGCTGTCTTAGTCTGATTAAGCCCAATACAGGGCTAAAAAATTTATCCAAGTTATCGAGCATTGTTTCTTGTATTTCTATGAAGCAAACTTAAACAAACATAATTTGAACAAACATAATTTTAGCCAGCATAAGATGTGACTGGTTTCATTTAGATTGTTATCTTAACTAGGTATGTCATCTCAAATTGTATTTGTCTTGTATGATTGTCCTTTCCTTTTCATAAGTTTGAAATCATTCTGACTAATCTATCAAATTTAAATTAATACATAATTTTTTAATTGATTAAATTCAGAGGGTAATTTTGAATATACTAAAAAAATGTTTCCTCCCATATCAGAGTTTTAGCATCTACATACAGGTTGGACTGATAGGTAGGTATGGTAACAGAGCCACAGGACACCGCTAGTAGTGCCATTTGACTCATGGTTATAAATTTGCTCCAGTTTACCTTCATGTTACATTGACATATTCCAATTCATGAAAATCCAATTCTACTAAATAGAGTACCGTAGTTGAAAGAGATCTACAACCAAAGGTATGAATATATAGTAAGTAAACCTTTTCTATAATTGCAGATCATTTGTTCTCAGACGTTGATCATTTTATGTGATGCCGCAATGTATACTTTATTTTCATTAGAAGGTTTGAAAACGTCTATTGTAACTCTGTTTCACAAATATATACAAGTTTTCATTTTTGTGATGTCAGGTGGAGATGTACGAATGCTTCCGCCCTGACGACATCATTTTAGCGCGCATTCTCTCCCTTGGTGACGCACGCAGCTACGAGATGAGCACGAGTCTGCCTGAGCTGGGCGTGGTGACTGCCAGGTGCGAGGAAGGCCATCTCATGGTGCCAGTGTCCTGGACCAGCATGAAGTGCCATTGTAGGACAGAGAACAGAAAAGTTGCTAAGGTTGTGCCACCAAATACATAAGTTTTCCGTAAGTTTTGTTTCATTTGTGATATTTGCTTCACATTTGCTGTTCATTTAGACTTAGAGTATAGACGATCCGAGTGAATCTATGGACAATACCTATCATACGATCTCCTTAGCTGGGAGTGGGAGATGGAAATGGAAGGAAAAGTGTTGCTATAAAAATCCTAGCCAAGTCTCGTCTAATTCCTTTAGAAATCAAACCTTGAACAAGTTCAACAACTCGTCAAGAAAGTGTAATTATTCCATTGTCACTCCATCATAACTATAAATGAAACATTTGCGTGTTAGAATTTAAATTGAATTGCTCTTATGGCTATGTGCATTTCTTTTTATTCACTAAATGACTTATGTGTTCTCCACCACGATCTGTCAGCAAAAAGTCATGTTTTGATTGACGTATTTATTTACGATCACTTTTTTACTTGCAAAAAATTCAGTCAAACCATTGCAAAACACAGAACTTTTCTCAGAACTTTTCAAAGCCTCCCGCTTAGTAGTGACATGAGATGTTCCCTCGTAAACCTTGATTCTGACATTCACGTCTCCGCATTTTTTTATCATAGTAAATGTCCTTCGAGTTAAGGAAAATGTTTGGAAATGATGAAACCCGGTGTTTTTGATCAGCCTTAGTATTTAATATCTCTCCTTCTATCTGCTGCCTCTTATTTCATAGGAGAACTTAGAATATAATCCTCAATGTATCCCTGTGAGGGCGCGTGCGCGTACCACTGCCCAGCTGTTATACGCGCTAGATGTAACTTCCTCTTATCAATTTTTTTCGGAAATTCCGTGACAAATTTTACCAAAGGAATATTAAGTTTGAACTGTCAAACACGTCAGGTTGGAAGCTACTACGACCTTCTCATTTTATTGCCTGCATCGTGTATCAGGCAATCCTTATCTTGCAATGGGCTGTCGAGCTATGAGGTCATTGGGGAAAATTTGTCGATGCTTGATCACCGCGAGTAACAACTGTTCTCGATGATTGATTTCCGTCCAACAAAGTTGTTCGCGACGGTTGAATTCAGCACAACGGAGCTGTTTGTTTAGCGCAAGTGTTAACCGCTCTGCAGCGATATTTTCAACTTTCAAATAAATACGCGGAACCTACTTTTTAAACAACTAATAACCGCGTTGTGCCGAAAATTTTCACAACCTATCACAGCGTGGCACCGATATTTTCGATAGTTCATAAACTTGTGGGACATGTATTTCGATAGTTGCTAACTGCGTTCACCTATATTTTTGATAATTAACAGTCGCGTTGCACAGATGTTGTCGATAGTTCATAATCTCGCGGTGCAGACGTTTTAGGCGGAATCTATAGGCTGGTATCCGCTGTTGTTGCCGTATATGGAGTTGTCGCTATCAGACAAGAAGATGCCAGCAACGTTGCCCTGCACCCTCCTGGGAGCCGCATGCTGCCCTGCCATGTCCAGGGAGTCGCTTCTGCAGTAACGCCGCGCTAGCAGCAAGGACACGACACTCAGCGACATCAGCACCGCCATCAGGCACGATGCCACTATGGCCACTTGGTATGGCACACCATCTGGGGAGAGGACATAATACACTCGGTTATAGGGCTGGCTGGTCATGCCACCGTAAGTCATGATTCATGAAGGCGAAGTGAATAATGATACCAGGATCCGAATAAAATGATGTACACAAGTTTTTGGTTTTAGGTTTACGAATGTAGTTTAGTTCTAATGCGAATGGAATGATTACTTCATCAGTTATGGTGAATTATTTCTTGCTTGGATAGTGAACTATGCTACGGTGTTGCAGCAAAGTGTTGCGTCGAGATCAAGCTCTGCATGGTCAGAGTTCTCGTTTGTTTACATCGGACAAACGGAAAATTGCAGCATTGAGATAAAATGTATTCTGTGTCTATAGTTTCATGTGATAAGATAAGCCTTATCTATGAAGCACACCAAATGTCCTCACATTATAGTTACGGGGATGAGTGGGATGGCGGTCAATGAGGCAAATTAATATGCAGACCCGTCGCTTATACTACGAGTTATTCGCGTTATTCCCGTTCTCGATTAAATGGTTTTCCTCGTAACTCCTCTGCTGAGTTTGATGATTTCTTGCACTGTGGTGCAAGAAATCTTAGTCTGAGCCATTTCTTTAACTTGTTTAGTGTACAAATAAATCTCATTAATTTCATTATTTAGGCCCGAGAAAATCAATCGCTATTGATTGTATTACCTCAAGATCAACTACTGTACACAGTCAGTGTCAACGTCACGCCACTCACCTGAAGTCAAAGCCACTGCCTCCAGAGCCTCTGAAAATGAAGGGAATTTGTAATTGGAATAGCAGCAGTTGGTTAAGTAAATTAATAAATTGGAAGGATATAATCTGTTGCGATATGAGATAAACAGCTCAAAAGATATCATTGTACCCACTGAATGAATTATGGCTCAATTGTACAAGTCTACTGTATAAAGTATAAAAAATTCCAAATAATTGACATTCATTGCAACCTTGATCTCCCCCAAGCATGCGCACCTATCGGAATAAAAGTGTATTTTAATGTACATTCAATTTAAAGCCGTCATCTATTTTACCACAACAAATATAATAATAAAATATGGGCACCAGGATAGAGTGTGCCTGGAGACAGCCATACCAACATCCCTTCGTTACCCACAGCAACTCAGGACCACATGCCAGGACTTCGAAGAGAGTAAATTATACTGTGGTCTGTGCATCCCATCTACGCTGTAATTGTGCGTGCACACGGGTTCCTGGATGGCTTGTGAATTCACACTTTGAAGATTGCATCCGATTATAAGGGATATTATTCGATTATAAGGGGCCGCCAAAGTTTCAAAAGTTGAAATGTCTCCAACGATGAGCTCACGTTTTCTTATACGTACACATTTTCCAAGGAAATGATAGCAAAATTTACGACCATCCAATAGCTTAGGAATCGTAAATATTCTATGAGCCCGGCTTAAGGGAAAGTCAGTCCCCGGCTTAAGGGAAACCGGCCCAGTTCTCACCATCACACACAGATCGCTCCAGTACCATGAAGCCAGCAGGCCCCTGGACCTCAACACGGTCAGGCTCGTACAGAATGCTGCTCATGGGGCGGTTCCTGTTTGTCTCGTACGAAATTTGTCGACCGTCCCACCACACATCGAGCCACAACTGTCGGTTTTTGGGGAGATTAACCGAAACGCTCCGTTAAATGATTATGGGCACATCCGGGTCCAATTTCGGCATCATAATGTTACTCTTTATCTACATTGAGCCAACTTTCCACCGGGAATTTCATCAGAATTGAAACGAGTGTTATTAAATTGAGTTGATTGATGTGAAAATTAAGGTATAGAATGTTCTTCACTAAGTTTACACCGGATGCTACTTATTACATTTTATACTAACCGTGTTGTTGAAAATCGTTCGCTGGAAGCCCAGTGTGTGGTATCCTTGCTGCAAAAATTCATGCGTGATTTTAGCTTCCCCGGCAAAAAAGAGTATTGGTTCACCGCCCTTCGGCTTTGCGTAGTACAGAACCACAACTTGGTACTCGTATGAAGAGGCATCATTGTCCTTGCTTCCAAATATCGCTTCTTCTGTCGAGCTATTATCAGGCTCCGTTCCGATTATCATTTCAGAATTGGGTGCAGAGAGTAAAGTTTTCCTGTCATCCTGCCCTGTGACGCCACCCATCACAGGTGCTGGCAACGATGTAGGAGACGCGGTGGTCGGGGTCGTCATGCTCGACACTGCGACGACACACACGTCCAGGTTACTCTCGTTGTAGAAAGTCATAAGCCTCTCGACAGTTGCGCCAGAGGCTGAAACAAAAAAATGCATACGTGCTTAGAGTTGTCATCTATAGTAGAAAAGTTGTATAAAAATACAAATAATTGGGATCAAAGTCAAGTTCTTCAACAGATGTCCTATTTGTTTCCTCGCAATTTACTCATGAAATTTTGAGTTTGCTCGTAGGTTTCGATTTGTGATTTTAGATATCGATTTTCTCATGAGTTATATATTGACGTTCATTCCCTTTTATTTGCTAGGGTCTACTTTAGATCTAATTCTTCTGTTCACGGTTATTAGAAACGTCATCACAACAAACGTTCACTTCAGCATAGGCTCGAACTCGTCCTACCTCTTCGGAAAAAGTTTCGGCTTCTTCTCGGCATGTTCAGCAAACGAATTAAACGAGTGTTGAATTGCGGTATGAACTTACCAAGCGTCAGGGTCGTCGCTATAACTACTAACAATAAAGTCAACTTTGAATGCATTTTATCTTGAATTATTTATCACACTGATTATTGTTTTATAAAATATATCAGAGGAGAAAAGTTTGAGATTCTTTGAACGAATGACTTTGGATCAAATTCTGCTCACATAATAAATAAAATCGAGCTCATATTGCTCGATTTTCTTGATGTCTTTGCTTAGCTAATAACGGTAGAATTTTCCCCGCGGTTTATTGTTTTTGGTATAAGTAACTGCACTGGTCTAAATAATCAACTTTAAAATTTTGCACTTCACAAAAATTTTAAAAAATTTTCCCGAAATAGACGTGCACTTTACTTGATTCGAGTGCCAGGAGCATTGCAGTGCGCACCGCGCGCTCGCTCATTGCCGACTTACGCAGTGAAAGATGCAGTCTCTTCTAATGAACGTCCGATAAGGTTTCTGCTGATACGGCCCTTAATCAAATCCATTCGTCTGATAGGGATCCTTCATTGGCATCGGCCAAACGAATATCTTATTTAATCAGTATAGCTAATAAGATATAGCAATGACAGGTGCAAGCCACACGGCACAATGGGAACATTGTGCCGTGACTGTCCATTAACCAGTTTTAATAATTGCCCTTCGGAAATTATAAAAAATATATAACTCAGTACTCACTGCAGTGAGTGACAGAGCGCATTTTCTCGTCGACGAAAACTTGAGGTCACGGACGGACGGACAGACAGATAGACGGAAATGGCGAGCACAATAGTACATTTTTTTCCATAAATGAGAAAATGCGCTAAAAATGTCAGTCCTTCATTTTGCACTGTTCCTGTCCATTACACGGGCGTTTTCACTATAAACATTGTTCACACATCTCCAACTTAATTGGTAGGGTAACATGGGGCAGCGAGCCCACTGCGGGTCACGGGCCCATAGCGGGTTTCTCGCTAAGTATGACAGATATTGGTCCGTGTTCTCTACCGCCGGTCGACAGTTTCACTGGGATGAAGTGTACGGATTTACGTTTTGCTAAGTGTTTGCGTTATTAAGTTCTTTGCGAATAACTGTTTTAGTCCAGATAAAAATTTTTTTGTATTAAAAATTGAATAACTCTATAGGCGTCTAATTCACATCATACATTCCTCATTAGTTGCACCTTTAAACAAAACAAAGAACCACCTCGTATCAATTAAAACTTCATCAAAAATTTAGTCTAAAAAAAGTGGGGGGCGCGCTGCCCCACGTTACCCTATCTACTTTTTATTTAATATTCTCACACATTCATTAGATGGTTTTTGATCATTTGCAGGACAGCGGATGTTACAAACGTTAACATACACAATGCACATTTAATTGCACTCAAGCTAAACGTGAAACGTTGGAGACTGCGTTCCAACCTCTACTGCAGTGTTCGGCCGTTAGCTGAACATGTGTGTCTGGCGTAAAGAAAACTAACTCACAATCTTGGTTATCTAATCCTTATTATATTTATATATTATACTATCATGTCAGCCTCGCGTTGCCTGGGATAGATTATCCCTGCAATTTGAGAATAACTCTAATTCCAATCCAATCATCCCCAATTCAATTAATCATTTTGAAACTAAAGCCCCATATTCAATTACTAGGACCTTTCGAACTGCCATTCAGCACACAATTCCCATTTATGTCCTCTTTAAAATTTAAATATAAATTTTAACTCTGTATTTAAAAAAAAGAAATTCACTTACGAAAGTACAAATTACGCAATAAGTACTGTAGATACGTTATCTTCGCACTATATTTCATTGTCAGACTTCAAATATTTATATGGCAGGTCAACCCGGCGTTGCATGATAATTCCTGAAATACCAGTCCCGTCATTCCCTTAATAACGTTAATAAAAATAAAGCTTACGTATTCTAATTGAATAAAGATCACTTAAAACGTTCAACATAGTAGATGAGACTTTCAATTTACTCTTTTAAATTTTCGAAATAAGTGTTTCGCATCTTTTAAAATTTATTTTATTTTACCATTTGCAAAATTAGATTTTAATTTTTGATCCAATTCTTTCCTCCTTTTCCTCTATTGCTTTCTTATTCTCACACTAAGAATAAAAATATGGTAATATCCCGAATCGATGCGATAAGTAGGGTACGAGCCTCAATAACCCTTGTATCCTCGTATATGCGGCACCAGGCTCCCAACAGACAAACAAAACCAGAAACGATTGGAAATATATGTAGGATATGAATTTAAATAAATTATTAAATTGTGAACTTTTTTCCAAACCAAGTTTTTCCCGGAGCAACGAGCGAACGTTGCGTGTCTCGTGATACGAATAGGACAAGAAGTCCATATTCGTGGGACTGGTATGAGTAACCTTGATGGCAGTCAGGATCCGAAATAAATTCATAAGTCGTCAACTTTAACTGAACAAGAGAAACAATGCATGGCTTCGAAAACAAGCAATAACTACTCAATTTGCATGTATATGCTTCCATTGTACAGAGCCTTACAGCATGCTGCAACCAACTGTACATGGTACTGCACGTATGTCCAGTCCCAAATAATCGCAACTATCTATATAGTAAATTAATTTAATATTGTGATATGTGCAAAAAATTTTATGTATTAAATTTTTTATTGTGCACCACTCATAGTGGGATGCGCACCGCAGTTTGAGAACCCACCTGTCTAAAGTCACCGAGATGCTACCATTCATGCGAGTGACTTCAACCTGCTACAATATAGGTTAATTTATTCCACAACCGTTGCCGTCCATTCATACCGGCAGACGCGGTCGCTTATCACGAAATGGATCAAACTCTCACCTGTGTCGCCACGATGAGTCTTTAACGGTTAACAATGAGGTTGTAAGTGTCATTCAATCCATTAGGGCCACACCCAGCCAGTGTTGTATAATATGGAGATCCATATGTCGACATCTCGATGCGACGATTGCAACTTTATGTATGGAAACAACTGAGCATTAAAATCAGCAACAGATATTGATTGTTGAGATTAATAACAGAAAGCCCATTTCAACGAAAAAGCTTCTCTTGAGAGTAAAATGAAGTATTGACAATCACCGACAGATACAAGAATGTTTGGTTAATTCCGATATGCAGACCGTACAGCTTGGCATAAGACAAGCCTGTTATCGGGCTGGAATGCGGGGAGGCGCTGGGCGGTCGCTGGTGGCTATGCCCATAAATGGGCATGGCGGTTGAACCTGTCGCTGTGGCTGGCTGATGCACGCCGCCCAACATCAATGCCATTGCATTTCATATGTGCTGTTCAATTGTACAACTAGGAATTTAATAGCAAAATTGTTTGGAAACAGGCACACAAGACTCAAAGGTCCTCACAAAACTCGAAAACTAGTAGGATTGCAATTTGGATGCCCTCATAAATGAGGATTTTCTATTTTTGAACGTATAGTAAAGCGAATCATTCATACAAATTTCCGTTTAAGAGATACGATTCGTTTTTAAACGCTTAGCATATTATTATTTTTTTAGCATAAATTCGTTTCCAAACGCTTAGCATATTATTCTGCGGTTAGTCTAGAAGTATCATTATGTAAAATATTTTAACATTCTTGTGCCACATTACATGATTCCATCAACAAATTTGTGCCTTACAGAGTCAATTACTAGAAAGTCATTTCACTCAGTAGCATTTTTTTTACTGAAATAGGACTGAATTCACCGAAGCCCAATCTGAGCGTTCGGCATTGAATAAGTCAACCTACATTCAAGGCTCCGATCGCAATGTCGATGCAGAAGATTACTTCCAGCTGGACTAAATGAGGATGCGAAGATACAGTTAGCACGTGGTAGTTCACAGAGCCTGTTGAGAGCAACCGCCGCTGTACTGTGCCGACGTGCAGCAATTAGTATCTACTCGTTTAGTTTGAAGATCATCGCTATTAGGTTAACATATTCACTCTCATTCATGTTGAACTTCATCATCATGAAATTAGAGAACATATTTTCTCTAATAGAAAGTGATTTGAGCTATAATAGCTGGTCCAAAACAGTCATACATTAGCGCAAAAATAGGCTCAAATGGCACATCTCTTATTTACTCCAATGTAATAACACGTAGCAATGACAGTTCTTTACGTACCTTGTTTATTTTGTACTGTTAAATTTGGAAGACTGTTTAGCGTTATTGCTAATTGGACTAACATGAAAAACTAAGGCGAGCGTGAATGTGTTAAGCAACAGGTTTATTAGTCTCTTTATTTACTAAGAATAACGACTATCGACTCTAAATTTAGTTATTGGCTTGCAATTTATGAATTAAAATAATATGCCAATAAATTTACATCGAATAATTTTCACGCATAGTCTTTAGTATTTGCAGTAACCCTTATCGTATGTTGATAGTGTAAACAATTTGAAATTTACTCTAACGACAGGCTCTAGAATATCATCGAGTCTGGAAAGATCGGAGGCGCCTACGCTTCACATGGAAGCGATGCAGGATGCTCAGCCATTCGCCCTACCGCGCTTTCCGACTCAGTGTCTCCGTCCATTCGCAGTCAGTGTACTTGAAGCAGCTGTGTTGGGTGGTAGGGTTGTGAGCCAGCTGTGATCACAGTTCACTGGTGGCATGTGCAGTGCCGTACTCATTTTTTAATTATATAATTACGGTGTTTTTTAAGCGGTTGCGAATTTTAAAGTATTGCCCCTTACAAAATTTTACTTTTAAAGCTTTGTTTTGACTCTTGATTGTCAATGCGTGGGCCGTGGAACAGTACGTTCTTTCTCTACGGAGGTCATGTGAAATACGCGAATGGCATTCCAGGTTTCGAATTCAGCTTACAGCCCTTCGAAGTAATTTTTTTGCTGATATATATCCCCACTGCAATGGATGTCTCGCTATTTGATGAACAGTTTTATTACATGTCAGCGAGTCTCCGAAAGCTTTTAGATCCACGTAGACTGGAGTTATTGAGAACCATTATGCATCAGTCAAGTTATCCTTAGTTTCCATCTCAGTACGAGTAGTCATATGTTTAAGATTAGATTACATAATTACAACTGTTAGCTTGTGGTATTTTGTCGTGAAGGAAGACATATGGATGTGACATATAACGGATGGGCGTTGCGCAGACTGTAATTGAACCACGAACATATTTCGTCACAGTTGGTGTTGGGCAGCCTGAGCTGTTCGAACCTGTGAAACTAACCGGTAGAGCACTAACCCTGTAATTAGATCCTGTGTCCGTTATCATCTTGCCACTTAGGATCTTTTCTCGTATACAGACTAAAATAAATGAAGTTAAATAAAGAGAACATTTAACGAACACGCTGTGTTATATTTATTTCTTAACATATGCTCTTATCTTTTCCAAGTATCTTTGTGTAACTTAACTAATGACAAAAATTCGCGATA